GGTCTGAGTACTCCATGGTAATAAAGGAGCACAGAAAAACACAGGATGGGGCGCCTGGATGGCTCAGTTGGTTAAGCGTCCGACTTCAGCTCAGGTCAAGATCTCATGATTTGTGGGTGTGAGCCCCCCATCAGGCTCTGTGCTGACAGCTCAGAGCCTGGAGCCTGCTTCTGATTCTGTGTCTCCCTCTCTCTCTGCCTCTTCCTTGCTTCTCTCTCTCTCAAAAATGAATAAACATTAAAAAAAAAAAATCATAGGATAAATATGTGCATCTTCCATGTCAAGTTTACGAGAAAAAGTTGGAAGGCAGTGAAACAAGTTTAAGTCATTGTTTTTACATTAAATCCAAGTTTACTAGAACATAAAATTAACACGAATTTTTCAGTCAGAACATGAAGTTTCAAAGCAATTTCACTCTTGGAATAAGCTAATTGAGCTTCACTATTCCTTATGATTTGAGGAAAAGAGACAAGTTGAGGGACATTTGAGGAAGATTTTGAGAATGTACAGCTAAACTTTTCCTTCTCTTTTTTTCCCTCTTTTTCTCTTTTGAGAATGCAGAGCTAAACTTTTCCTTTCTTCTCTTTTTTCTCTTTTTCTTTTTGTAGTAGAGTGACATTCTTGGATTTGTGCTTTGAGGAGTTCTCTCAAGGGAAGCAATAAGCAGGATGGGCTAAAACATAAGACACAGGACAATAATGAGGGTAGATGACAAACAGAAAAGCTGTACTAAGTCTAGGCAAGAGATGACAAAGGACATGAGCCAGAGCTGAGACTATGAAAACACAGAGGGCTAAGAGGATTCGAGAAAACACAGGAGACCAACCAGACAGCAGCACCTGACTGCACTGTAACTATTCAATGAGACAGCTTCTGAGAACTGTTTTTACCTAAAATTAAAATTTGAGTAAGATTTATGAAAATCAAGTTTAATAAAGAAAACACCCTTGCTTTAAAAATGTTCAAAGAGTATTACTAGGCTCCTACTCATCAGTTAGCAATGTAACTTTTCTAGAGACATAACTATACAGCTTGAGAACCAGAGTGAGGAATGGCCTTGATCTTTAATGTAATATTCTAGAATAAATGAATGAATGAACCTAGAGAGTCTTCTAGAAAAGAACAAGAATTTGAGCATTTAAAATATCTTACTACTTAACAACTGAACAAAAAATAGTAACCTTTTCCTAAACCATATTAGTTGTTTCATAAGGAGTAAATTGGTAGTTTAGCCAAGCAATAAAATGCTAAAAGGCACAACAGAAAATTAAAGTTAAATCCTCATTTTTAAGTTGACAGTAAGCTGCAGCCACTGAGAAAGACATTAGAATTAGACATTAGAATTTTTAAGGGAAATAAAAGATAAAATATAAAAAAATCCTTGCAGGGGCACCTGGGTGGCTCAGTCGGTTAAGCGGCCGACTTTGGCTCAGGTCACGATCTCACACTCCGTGAGTTCGAGCCCCACGTCGGGCTCTGTGCTGACAGCTCAGAGCCTGGAGCCTGTTTCAGATTCTGTGTCTCCCTCTCTCTGACCCTCCCCCATTCATGCTCTGTCTCTCTCTGTCTCAAAAATAAATAAACGTTAAAAAAAAAAATCATTGCAGAATATATTCATAAAATTACAATTTAAGAGTAGATTAAG